TAAAAAGAGGCAGTGAGGTGTGAGGAATGGGCTTGCAGACCCCCTGAATACAGCTGCCCCTCTGTATGGCTCTGAGGAACCTGTCCTTTCACCGTGACTCAAAATCCTGTCCGTCAAGATGGAGTGTAAAGGGAATTTACACACTAGAGACAGAGCATTTGACGAACAGGATGTGTTTTGATGGTGTGGAAAGAACCTAACTGACCTCCCGCCCTCAGTGGTTACTGTTGCTAGCTCAAGCTTTACAGAACAGCCCATAGAAATGACCTGAGATTTCAGTCAACGGTGTCATTTTCAGTAAAAGTGCTAAAATTGTATTCTATATTCTTGAACAAGCTGAGTTTTAACATTGGAAAAAAATTGGGTTACACTTCATTTCAAGGTGTCATTGTTACAGTGTAATTATACATTTAAGTACTGAGCAATATTAATTAACAACATGTACTTAGTATAGGGTTTGAGTTAGGATTAGAGTTCAGTTTAGGGCTAGTTGCATGTCATTATGCATAATTTACTGTTATTACTAGTGTAAGTACATGTAAAGTGTAACAAGGACAATAAAATAAAGTGTCATACATTTCTATCTGATGTTTTTCTTTAAATTGTTAAATTATGTAGTAACGTTATTAAAACTGTGGGGATTAAATTTTTTTTTAAACGTAGTACCACCTTGTAAGAGATCCAGCGAACATTACCATATTTATGTACAATTTAGTGTTCAAAACTATTCAAAATGCACAGATCATCCATAAACTGACATTAAAAAACACACACACACACACACACACACAAAAAAAAAAATGGATGGCAATAATAAGTGGTAAGTAGTAAGGTAGGATCAGAATCAGGTCAGTAAAGTTATTAATTTTTTTTTAATAATTTTTTTTATTTTTGCAAAGGGTCAATTTTATTTACAAAAACCTATGAATTTTAGCGCTGGTTAACTGATACCTACATAGGTGTGACTTAAGCATTATTTTTCTATTATTTAAATATAATTTTTAAATATATTATTAAACATATATTATAATATATTATTAAAAAAACTTATTAATATTTTGAATTAGCTTAATTTTAGCTTTATTAGCTTTCATTTTCATACCTTCAGTTTTAATTTGAATTTTAGTTTAAGTTTTAGTCATTTTGTTGTTATTTAAAACACTTCTGTTGCTTTAATTTATTTTTATTTAACATTTAAATGTTAATAAGTTTAATCTTTCACCTTAAACTTATTTGCCAAGGTTACTTTTCTCATTTTCATTCAAGTTTTTCATCTTGTATATATACTTTGTTTTATTTTGGATTTATTTCAATTCCTGAAAAATGATTTTTAATAGTTTTAGTTAACTATAACACTGAGTTGCGGCAGAAGGTCAATTTTAGGTACCCTGCAGTGAGAAGAGAGAGACAGAGGGAGAGAATGTGTGTAAAAATAATTTTCAATCAGAAATTGTTAGTAAATTTCACAAATAATTACAGAAAACTGCAAGTGACTCACTGAATTAAACAGAATGACGTAGAAAGTTGAAGTAGAAAGAGTGAAACATAAGCATTTTCTTGTAAAACGTACTCCAATAATACTTGTTCTACTTGCAACTTTGAAACCAAAAACATTTTTGTATGTGTGTGTCATGTGATTACTGTTTCTGTCCTTACTTTTGAGTAAGAGTGGAATCTGCCTGTTGAGTTTCCCATATTGACAGCACAACAGAGTTAACATCTGCTAAGAAAGCCCCCAAAAGTTTCCTGAGTACCAGACATCATTTTCAAGCAGATGGTTCCTAAAAAACTTCTCAAGAAATCTCACCTATGATCAGAAACACTGATATGTCCACGTCAACAGAAAAGGCCCAACTGAGAAGAAAGAGGAAGCTACTCTAAAAGTGCTGGCATGGAGCCCTGTCTAATAAAAGCAAATCTGCTGGGGGCTTTCACCGGAGCCTGGCATCACCCCCATTTCCATTCACTTAACCACTCCACTGCATTCGCAACGCATTCCTGCGGCCCAACAATAGGAGCCTAACTCAATTTCCGACGTAATTAGGCTGTGTGGAATTCCATTTGCGATCCCGGTTACGGAATAAACCTTTGCCATTTTCTATTAGAGGGAAACGGTTCCCGTTACACGTACACAGGCTTTTCATTTGTGGATCGCTAAGCTAATTTGTTTCTTTGATGCCTGTTCACATTTTGAGTCTGTGACACTGTTTGGCTCTCAAAAAAATAAACGCTTTAGATTACCACTGACAATGAAAGGAGACAAGCAGGGTGTGCCCAGTGTCAAGATTCCTCTATTTTGCACTTTGTTTTCCCAGAAGTCCACCCTCTTCCCCTCCACACGCACACAGGCCCAGTGAAGCGGCAGCTGCCTGGCGGCTGACAGGAAAGTCACTATGGCGGGTGTCTGTCCTGTTTGTGACACTGACCCCCATGACTGATGACATGGCAGTGAGGTCATAAACACAACACTGTGATTTCTATCTTCCTGTCAGGCCCCAGACAGCATCCAATGCCTTTGCATTTACTATCTTTTGGTTTTTAAACATAAAACAATCTTCAAACTTCAACCAAACCCACAATCAGGGAAGTAAACATCAGTGGATTTCTAGGAATTTTGGGTTAAATGTCAATCCCATCCCATTTACAGCAAGTCTTAACAGATCAAAACAACAAAGGAACATCAAATTCAGTGTAATTCACAATCATGCAGCTAGCAGCCTAGATTACCAAATGCCAATACTCATCTTTAAACAACAATGCATGACCACCATAGTGCTTGTAGTTAGTAACATAATCTGTCGGATTACATATACAGGTGACTTTTCCACGACATTCTAATTTATTGAGATGCACCTGTAATAGGTAGCACATTCTGATGGCTTTTAGATTACTTTTGACCTAACCCGTAAGAAAATATTTTCCACTCTTTGTTTGTTGTCAACATCATGAATTGCAGTAAACATCACATTATGCCAAGGTTTCCTGAACTGGGGTCCCTGAAAGAACGGCATGAGGTTTGTGAGGCGATGAAAAGCTAATAATTAATTAAATCATAAAAATGTCAAGTTAAATTAATGGTGTGTTTTCTCCATTTTCTGTGTAATTATAGTCACCCGACTAGTGGCTGGTGTGTGCGGTTCCATAAAACTGGAAGGTTTCTGAGTGCATACAAGCAGTAAAAAAAATAAAATAAAATTAGGGCGAATCAATACATAATTAATCATTTACTGCCATTAATTACATATTTGGCTAAATAACATGTAACAATGTTACATATATATGTAGTTTATCATTTTTTATTTTAGACAACTAAAATATATGAATATATATAGTAATTATTAAATTATTATTAATGTAATAAAATTCAGAACAGAATACATCAAATTCAGCAGTAAGTATACTTTAAAAAAAAAAAAAATAGAATAGAGCTATTTATGTAGAGAACTGCATCCCACAATGCAATGCATTTTATTGGATCATTTCCCAAAATTATTTGTATTTTTTATTATCATTACTTTTTTTTTTTTACACAAAATTTGATTAAAATGTTTAAAATGAAAGCCCACTGTTTTACTTACTAATACGAAGTAATACCCAGTTTTGTTTTGAGTAGTAGAGAGCAGGTCTAAGTAAGCTAGTATAAACTTTCTATTGAATGACACAATACTGCCCTCTTGTGTTTATATGCTAGAACTGAGTCGGTATTACCCATGAGAGTCGATTAGTGCAAATAATAAGTGTGCAATCTTAACTAAATACATTCATAACTTATATAAAATGCCAGATTTTTATAAACACAAAATCCTTGAATAAGCGCTATAACTATAAATACTATAATAGTATTAAAAAAAGACTAATGACACGAAAGCTAAAGATCAAGAATAAAGTGTCTTAGCTACACCAAATTCAACCCAATAAACCTTCTTATGATCTTGGTTTAATCAGAAAGGTCACCATTATAATAATATAATCTAAATATACTCACCATAGACATAAAAAACATGCAGTTGAACACAAAAGACACATTCATCAGTTAATGTTAGGTTTAATCTGAAAACACAGAGTTCAAGCTCAATAAAACCACAGGTTTTACATTTACAATATTTTAGTAACTGAAAAAAAGTTCATCCTACAGTGAAATCATATAAAAACATCTCGATAAAAGACCAAAATCATTAAATCGCATGAAAGAGACAAAATATTTTGTGCTTCCTAATGTCTAAAAATATGTCATGAGGACTAAAAAAAAAAAATTCTGTTTGTACTATATCATCACAATTTCATGTCCTTAATGGGGCATTTTCTTGCAAACATTTGTTCAATATACTGTATATACATTATTTTTGCAGCATGACATTACCAAGGAGTAAATGGCGGCATAAAAACAGAGAAAAACACATCACTAAAGTGGTCATTTACAGAGAAAAAGAAAAATACTCCCACAACGTCAGGCTCATGTTCACAGGTGTCTCATCTGGTTGCTCAGGCCACGCAGAGCTCACGAGAGTCCGCTTCAAAGATGCGAAACATTTAGAAATACAGGAAAGCTGTCGGTTATTGGCACAGTTGAGGACGTACGGACCTCATCATTGATCACAAAAGCATCAATCGAGAAACCAATGCAAGCATCAGTAGCACACAACATGGTTCTACTAAATGTTTATAGGACGACCATGCCTTTTGAGAAGCAAAAGAACTCACATGGTCCAATAACGGCTGACGAACACAATCCAAGACTCTGTTTGCTTATAGCTGTAATACACCCCTTCCCCACGAAGTCCTTGAATGTTTTCATAAAAGTCTGGGACCTCAGGAGCAACGCTGTCACATTAGCATTTGTCATCAGTCCGCATTTAAACAGCATGCAGAGCCCACGCAGATCTCTGTGAGATGGAAATCAGGGCTCAACAATAAGAATGAACCACCAAACCAATGCTTTATCTATTCTTCATGAATTATGAACCTTTATCATTATGAATTTAGAGCACGTGGATCATAAAAATGCTTTTTGTTGAGCCCTGTAATGGTAAGGATATGAACTGGATTTGGTGTCCTGAAGTTGAGATGATGGCAGTATGAGGTGTGTGTGAAGGTGGGACCAAAGATGCCCATGATATGAGAACATTGGCACCACTTTATAAGGTCCAGAGGGGAGACGTGTTCATACTAGACTCGGTCTATAACATCAGAGAGAGGTCTCTTGAGGAGAAAGGGAGTTCACCCTGATCGGATGCCAGCCTCCTGTGTGTCTGTGCTCTCATCAAGGGGAAAATATTCTGGATGACAGCACATCACTTTTACGTCCTCTTCAGGGATGGCAAGTTTCCCCTCAACTCTGGGAATGAAAGCAATTTGTGGTACAGAAGCAACAAGGCCAGGAAATTGCGGGCTTTGGAAGTCACATTGAATTACAGCACAATTTACCGAGGCTTGCAGCTCTCTTCCATTTCTTTGAATGAAAAAAAACAACAACAAAAAGATAGGACACTGATGACTTTACTTCCCGCCATATTAGTGTCCCCTTTCCTGAGGACTAAACTGATCAGCAAAGTTAAGGTCCAAATGTTAAGTTTACATTGTGTACACTACAATGAACTTCTCCCAGCTTCTTTCCTAGAACAGATAAGCCATGACAAATTGTGCAAGCTGGTGCCAGTGTCTCCATGTTTGAACAGTATTAGGACAAATGTAATGTTCAGATGCGATCCCAGCATCAGACTAAACAATTTTAGAGTTCTGTTGAATTCAGACTGAAAGTTCTTGGATATAAAAGCAGTTTGAGGTTGTCCAGATCATCAGCGTTTGGTCAAAATCCAGGTTTGGTCAACAATCTGATGAGGTTTTCCTCAACTTCCTCTTTGTTAGGCTGGTTTGTCCAGCTCTGCTTGTCCAGGTTTTCCAGTAATGGCAGTGGATACAGCCCAGTTAAATGAGTAGTTGGTTTCATTCAGTCCATGTGTATTGAGAAGAACCCAACAAGAATTTCAATAGGTAAACATCTACAAACCATAATTTCTCACTGAAAACTCAAGCCTGTAAACGAGATGAAAAATCCAAGAATATCTTCTCCTCACAACCAGTGTATGCTACAGATTTAGGCCTGAAACATACTATGCACAAGTACAAAAATGCAAAAGCTAGCTAACTCGAGCTTGATTTCATGCATTACACTGGAATCCGTAACGCAGCATGTTTGCTAAAGCAAGCATGTCCATAAACTTCCACAGTCAGATTTTTATCTTTAAGGTCCATTAGAGTCATGAAAAAGCAACTTTTTGACGAGAAACTTGGGCTGTGTCTGAAATATAGTGCACTATTTGGTGTCCGAAACTATAGTGAACATAATCGAGTACACTCACTTCCATAATTCACTGCAACTGATGTACACTCGATGGCTAGCCTAAACAAGTGGAACCCAATTACCGAATTCTGGGAAAATTCTCATTGCTCTCACGCTGTTCAGATTAGATCGGTTCAGTTATATTAAAGTAAATGCCACTGATGTAAACGGTAGAGTCGGGATGTGGCAGTAGGTCCTGCAAATGGAGAAGGTCACATTACTTCAAATGACCAGACAGAGGCTACGCAGGAATGTAGGGTTATGGGCGTTAAACCCAGTCCAGTTCTTCAGTTCTGGACCATTTCTGGACCTCTGGCAAGAGCACCACAAATGAGCAAGGGCAGCTTGGATCAACACACACACACACGTTACTCAATGCATCTGTAGGTAATGAAGTTCATACTCATTACAGACGCTCACACACAAGCACTCAGGGCTGAGAGTAACCCTACTAGCTGCCTGAACTGAACCGGCCATCTGGAAACAGCACAAGAGGCCTCTGGAAAATTGCTCTGACAGTAGTATTTACATGATGCAGGGACGTCCTTTGTCAGCTGGGTTGGAGAGCACGCATCAAAGATCAACATGGCTGGATGGGTGGGCCTGGGGTGAAACCGGTCTGGGCTGTGGGAACAACATGTGGGTGAGTGGGAGCTTTAGACTGAAGGGAAAGAAGACGGTGTTCCTCTAGTTTGCTGAGGTGCTGCTGTTGGGGTCGGGCCGGGTGTTGGCCAGGTACTTGGCCCTCATGCTGGATGTGTACTGGAGAGAGAGAAACATTGAGAAATAAAAACAATACAAAAACATTTAGATTTTAGACTTAGTTTTCACATAAAAAGAACATGCTATAGATAGTGCAACTAAGTGTGGACATGCATATCACAGTGGCACTGTTAATACCTGGTATTAAAAACAGATGGTCCATGATTTCATGGATGTACATTGCACTGTGCATGCACTGTAAATGACTTTCATTTCATAATTAAATTATTATAAGTGAAAAAAATATACTTAAGTATAATCTACTTATACTTATTAATTTAAAGATTAGGTAGTAATCTATATATAAAAACAGACATTAGCATGCACAACTAAGTAACCAATTATGATGCCAAAAATGTATTGAAATATCGGCTAATAAGAAAAATGCTACGGATATTGTATATTGTGCATCCCTAATGCATAATGCATGCTTTACAAATGTTTTGATTGGATTGTAATTTTCCTTCAAAGCTGTACCTTGAAAGATTTGATACCCTTGTTTTGGCATAATGAGTGTGTTAGTTAAGTTAAAATATCAAAATAATAACAACAAAAATAAATAAATAAAACTAAAATAATAAAAACTAAAATTGGGATACAATTGAATAAAAATTGTTGACATATTTGGGAAAATGACAAAAAAAACAACAGCAACAAAAAAACAAACAAGCAAATTATATATAAATTATGCATATATATACACATATATATACGGTGGACATTAATAACGGGTTAAAAGTAAAAATGAAAATATAAAATAAATGTATCATATAATAAAATGAACAAAATAATAATAATTATAATAATAAAGTCTGTCAAAGCACACCCAGAATAATTCAGACAGCCTTGTAGACGCAATATTAATGTGCTTGTAGAGACTGAACTATTGCAATTAGTATTATTTATTTATTTATTGGTGATTAAATGGCAATAAATGCACATTTTACCTTTGACTGCTTGCTGTTTTGATAGAGTGAACAGATAAACGCAAGTAACCTAACCACTAACATGATTTGATATACAAAAATCAGGAGACGCATCTTTATACTTCCAGACCTAAAATTACCCTAATACTAACGTAAATCCTCTTTTGATTCTCTTAAGCTTATTTTATTCTTACTGAGGTCTTTAAGTGTGGCATGAATATAACTGGCTGATTGCTCTATCTGCCGATTACATTTGCAAAATGGCTAGTTAAAACAGCTGCAAATAGGCTTAATACTAAGAAAATGAGCCATTCCCTCACACAGTATCAACAAGTTCAGTCACATGTTTCTAAATGAAAGACAAGTCTAATCTGTACATTCAAATCCAGTGTACACTAATCATCATCAGTCTACAGATGCATATGTAGTGACTAGAGCTGACAGATCAGTCAAAACTCAAATTTCAACACATCAAGCTGATATTGATACCAGTAATAATGCATCCCTAATAGGACTACCTAATAATACTTACTTTTTAAAGATAAAAAGTACTAATCACTTGTGAAAGGTGTAACTAATATTACACAACACACGACTACAGGACATTACAGTACTTTTGTTCACACTGACAGAAATTGCTTATTAATATTACTCAGTGCTTATTAGTGTAACTGCACTGTAACAAGGAAACATTAAAATAAAACCTGACAGAGAATTGCTGATTTTCACTGAAATGAGTGACAGTGAGCATTCTTTACTCAAATGAGCAGTGATATGATGTGTCAACTGCCAATGGGAGCGCAGACAGTGATCAACTGTCTGATTCAACAGTCAACCTAGAAACTAGAAATTTATAGTACAGTGGCTCGGTGACCTCCATCAATTTAATGACTGTCAGTGCGAATGCACCTTTAGGATGCTAATCATTAGCCAAACTGAATTAAAAAGCAGTTCTCTCCCTTAACGTCTGCCTTAATGCATTTATTCCTCTCTGTGTTCTTGGAAATTGGATTCTCTGTCAGATACGTGAAGAGTTAATGTAGGTGGAGGGAGAACTTGCCAGACCAGGGATCCACACAACAAAAACACCAGGGGCGAGGGCAGCTTGCTTGGGTCAGAGTGAGGGTGGTTTGGGAAGGAATCACGCTGTTGTGTTTTTTGTTTTTATAGGGAGGAAGGTGGGCCAATAAGTGGGAGTGGGGCATTTGAGTACCTGTTGGAATAGCCGAGGCCGTTACCAAAACGAGCGGGAACTCTCCGATGGCTTTAACTGCCAGCTGTGATGGCTGTTACTGTCCGTGGATGTCAAATACAACTGTGTGGATTTGCAGAAAAGAAAACGACAAGAAACTGTAGAGCAGATAGACACCACTGACTGCATCTCCAGCTCACAAGAAACACGTACACATGCACTCCCCAAACACACGCAGCGTCTAGAGGACACAAGACCACACACGAAGGTGTGAGGGGACACAAGTACACCGTGTGAGTGGGGTTAACTTACATCAGCAAGTCCTGACAATCTGTATCTCACCTAAACTACCAGCTGACTAACCGATTTTAACACAGATTTTTAGCTTCATTTAAAGTTTGTCCAGTGATAATGTTTCTTAAAAACAGAGTAAATTTGTGGTCATTTAACTGATTTGTCAAAATCAGTGTGAGCAGCACGCCGACATACAGTGCCACTGCGCTTTGGGTGTCACGAGTTTGAGTCCCGGCTCGTTGACCTTTCCCTTCCCCCATTTCTCTCTCCCAGTTCGCTTCCTGTCTAGCTGCTACCCTATCATAATAAAGGCAAAAACTCCCAAAAATAAATCTAAAATAAATAAATAAAATGCAAGTAAAAAAAGATGATTATAAACCGGACAGTTCCGGTCCTTGATTCTGATTGGTTGAGCCACGTTCAAAGCTGTTGTAAATTACTCTACAAACATACACCTTTGTTTACGTCTGTGTGTTGCTCGGCAACCACTTTGTTGCAGCCACAACGGTTTCTGAGGAACTACATTGTTTGGTGGAAGAATACGGTTTTTATTAATATCATTACACTTTATTTGCTCTGTTTTATTTTGTGAAACCTTACTACGTATATGGAATAACCGTTTTATAAAAGCAATAAGCCCCGTGAAGCCGTGGTTTACATTGAATTTATAACAGCTATTATAACATATATTATAACATATAACAACTGTTATAAATTCACTGTAAACCACGGCTTCCCGGGGCTTATTGCTTTAGTATATGTATGTGAAATTTAAACAAACATTAATCAGACATAAAAATAACGTAATGCATAATTCCAAAATTAAAGTAATGTATTGAATGTAATTGCAAAAGTCAACAATAAGACACTAGCGCTCACCAGAAGCTATATAAAAATGTATTTTAATAATATACACTAATCTCATAAGCAATCTTAATCAATCAAGTTTCTTATAAGACCATAAATTTGGATTCTCATCTGGTGGGATGCATGACCTAACACGAATGTCACATTAGCAAAACGTCGCCCCCAAAAAAAAAAAAAAAGTTCCATTGTCAATAGCGTAGCGATAAATACTGAAGCACAGCTCAGACAGAAGTCACTTTCAAACCAAGCAGCTTTCTGTTTTCTGTTCTGAACTTGAACCTGTCGTGAAATCTGCATAAATCATTCGCCTTCACATTAATTGACTGGATTTCGCCCAGGAAAATTCGACTAACGGTAATTGTCTAGAATAGCTTGAAAACCTAAATAGTGTGTCTGAAAGCACACGTCATAATCTCCTCAACATCATGTATCCACAGCACCACCTAATGTTCACAGTTGTAATGCCAACATTTAAATGAACTCTGGGAACTTTTATTTTGGTGCTTATGGCCGGCAGTTGCTCAAAAGAAAACCTATTTTAGTTTTTACTAGTTGACTAGGTGGTGCAGAACAAGTACTCAAATATTTAGTCACCTTCTGACATTATTAGTGTCTGTTAATGAGTGAATGCTAACAGTCTTTAGTTTAATGCTAACAGAATTAGTTTATGGGTTGGCGGATTCCTGCAGACAAGAATGAAACTGACAAGCCACACTGTCTAAACTCTTAGCCACACCGTTCTTTTAAATGTTTTTTTTCCTCAGGAAATGTTCATTGCAAAGAGTAACCTACAGCAAGTCTGTTGTCCATGGTGCTAATGTTTCCATTGTGCTCTAGTTCTTATTTTGGGAGCTTTATATTGATTGGCTCCCAAAAAGAGGTGTTGCAACGTGTTTGAGAGAGGCGGGGCATAGAGAACCTACAATAATGTACAGTATTTGAAAAATAATGTGTTTTTTGAACATTAAAGCATGTCAACATATTCTGTTACACCAAATACACAAAATAATGATCTTTAAAATAGCATCATATGACCCCTTTAAAAGTCTATGTGAAATGTCAGAGGCACTCAGCTAATCAATCACCCCTCTTCCAGGTCAGAGCACTGAGTTTAACAACCCGATTTCAGCAATTACAGGTGACCGTGTTGATATCTCGCTTCAGTTATCGAGGTGTTTCGAGTCAGTAAGTGGGCAGCTGGCTCAAAATCTCTGTTCTCCTTTTCCTCACACAAAAAAAATCAATGCAACATCGATCTATGGCTATAAATCACCACTCCACCTAATCTGTTCTGTGAGATTGGGCAAGCGAGAAGTTCCCAACAGCAGAAGTTGTCCAACAGCAATTGGCTTGAAAGGTCTGCTTACTCAACTTAATCATCTAATTACTTGAACAGTTTACTTGAACAGAGTTCAGGGCTCTTTGTAATGACTTGCTGTGTACAGTGAAACTACAGTGGGGGAGATCATTGATTTACACACGCGAACTATTACATATACGTGCTATTTGAGGTGAATATTTAAGCATTCAGGCTGTCAAAATGACTCTCTGGTTTGTGCGTTAGTGTGTTTGTGTGTGTCGTCATTCACTGAGGACGAGTGCAGGTACTTACAGTTGGAGGAGGAGATTCTCTCCCGATCAGAGGGGTGTTCTCACAGCGAGGGTTCTGGAAGTTTGCATTCTGGGTCCTGGAAATGACACACACACTCTTTACAAAGATCCCAAATCCTCCTGCATTAATGTTACAGATCTATTTCAAATTTATTGTACTTGTTTATTTACACTACCATTTAAGTTTGGGGTCGTGAAGATTTTTTAAAATGCTTTTGAAAGAACAAAAATACAGTAAAAACGCCAATATTGCAAAATATTATTACAATTTAAAAGAACTGTTTTCTATTTGTATATATTTTAAAATTCATTCCTTTGATGTCAAAGCTGAATTTCCAGCATCATTTCTCCAGTCTTCAGTGTCACATCATCTTATCACATTCTAATATGCTGATTTACTGCTTAAGAATCATTTATTATTACTATCATCAATGTTGAAAGTGCTGCTTAATATTTTTGTGGAAACCATGAATATTTTTTTTCAGGATTCTTTGAGTAATAGAATTGTTTATGATTCAACTTCTAATAGTAAAAGTAGTAGTATGAAAAAAAATGAGCTTATTATTATTATTATTAAGTGCAATCATTATAAATAAAAGTTTCACTTAAATGACTGAGTCTATCATTTATAAATGAATGGTGGCACATGGAAGAACCAAAAAGAGATGCAGTAGAAATGTGGGAGCATCAGTAAGAAGTATCGGTCAAACTGAATATCAGGCTATTTCTACAAAAAACTCCATGGATCCCTTACAGAACGGAAAAGGTGACCAGTATGTGTGTTCATATGTATTGGTTGTTGACGTCATACATGTGTGTGTTTAACTCACATGTACTCCGTAACAGGAGCGTTGCTGACAGTGTGTGCTCCTGCAGGGATGCTGGTCTTTATAGCAATAGCCAAAAATACATTGTATGGGTCAAAATTATCAATTTTTCTTTTATGTCAAAAATCATTAGGATATTAAGTAAAGCTCATGTTCCATGAAGATATTTTGTAAGTTTCCTACTGTAAATATATTAAAACTTAATTTTTGATTAATAATATGCATTGATAAGAACTTCATTTGGGTAACTTTAAAGGCGATTTTCTCAATATTTTGATTTTTTTGCATCCTCAGATTCCAGATTTTCAAATAGTTGTATCTCGGCCAAATATTGTCCTATCCTAACAAACCATGCATCAATGGAAGGCTTTTTTTTTCAGCTTTCAGATGATGTATAAATCTCAATAAAAAAAAACAAAAACCCTTATGACTGGTTTTGTGGTCCAGGGTCACATATATCATCAGTGTAGTCCAAAAAAATAAACAAATAAACCTTAATTCAAAGTGGAAAGCCAAAACTTCAGAGAAATGGATGAATCCACTCAAAATAGGGGGAAAAATATTAATCATACAACTGTGATATGCCCAACTGTACATTAATAAATTCCATCTGATCTTCAATATCAATGTGTCACACAGTGGTATGAACAGCAGAGGGCGCTCTCTGCTGTGTTACTAATGACAAACAGGAAGAGCACATCAAGTCCACATAGAGGCATGTGATCTGCTTGCTTTCAGCCACAGGGAACAAAGAGAGCAGCATGCATTTGGCCAAGAGGGATGACATATTATAGTTTGAGGGAAAGCCTGGAACCACACAAAAACCTGCATCAGTGATTCTGTGCCTCTTGACAGACCACTAACAGTCTGTTTTCCTGTGTCCACTGATTGGATTACATGCGACCAGGAACAGCACTGTGTTAGCATAATGAACATGAATGAAAAAACTGACGATGACCAGAGGCAGAAAAATGAACACTATCAGGAGGGCTGTGAAACAGAGTGTTGCTCTATAAATATACAGATCTGGGCCGCCCCCTGCTGGACATGGTAGCTTGATGAACTCACTATAACTATTCAGTATGCAGTAGTTCAGCTTCAGTACAACTCCAGCCAACACTTGAAAATTATCATTGGCATAAAGTGTGGTTGCATTATTGTCCACAAAAGTAAACTCAGAGGTGATCCAGTAAACAACTTGTTCACACCAAGTCAGAATTTTCAGTACTAGGCTTCATGACAAAAAGAATTACACTTTTGTGCTATTTAGTTGCAGCACATTTCGATTTTTGAGTTATCGGAAATACTGGTAAACCTATGATGATTTCCTTGAAATTGTAACTCTTTCATTTAGGGTCATGAACAAGGTTTCGACACTCTAATATGTTGTGGAAATGTGTGTACAAAATTTCTATTAGGATTATGATGTTTGCAGGTCACTTTGACTTGTGTATTTCATGGTTAAAGGCAGCTGCACAGACCCAAAATAAAAACAAAATACAATGTCAGTTTCTTAACTACTCTCTGAGGGTATTTCCACACTTCTGTTTAAGATGTTAAATATAGTTACAATACTGTTTAGAATATTTGCATTAAAAAAAATCAGCGGTTACATACTTTTTTAAAAATCATGTTCTCTTTTTTTGTTATTGTTGTCAATGCATGAGAAGTATACATGTTAAAATTAGTTTTTGTAGTTTTGTAATTTGTTTTCATAGTGTGATTTTTTTTTCATAGTGAAACTGAATTGAATCAAATTTTTTTCGATTTTTACAAGGGGCATTCGGTACTTTTTTCTTTCTTTATTTTTAAATGTTGTGCTGGTCTAGGGCGCCTGACTTAATGTGACATCATTAAGCTTTTTTATTATAAAAAAAAAGTACTATTACATTTTAAAATAATATAAAAAAAAGCCTGTGTGCACCTTTAACACCAACAAAAAAATTTTTGCATATAAAAATGCATGCACGCACTTAAAATCTCTCAAAATATTTCCCAACTTCACACAGTTAACAATCAGTGTCTACCTCCACACTGCATGGCCTGCCACAGCCTGCCTAAACTCATATTCAGAAACTGCTAATTATCTATAATGAAGAGGTAGTGTGAATAGCTGTGTACCATGAGACATACACTTATGAGTGTGATAATTACATAATATGCTTAAGCTGGCGTCTTTGTCCTTTCTATCTCTCCCAGCCTAATCCTGTTTGCCTGATGCAGGCCTGTCCTGGGAGAGCAGCCGCATGGGCCTGGACCGGGAAATTATAGCAGTTTATGTAATTATGGGAGGAAGATGTGAGCGATTGCCACACAGAGCGCTTGGAAGGAAGGAACAAGGGGGAAGAGATGGCGCGAGGCAGCTGTTTCCGTTTACATTTTGACCGAAGAGCGTGATGGGAGCACGAGGTGTCCAACCATAGTCTTCGTAACAATGCCCATGGACACACAAACACACCACTAACTACTTCCACTGTTGTTTTATCTCTGGTTTAATCCTCCTGAGTGCATCCGACTACAAAAATGAGGATGTTCCACTGAATGACTGTGTCATACTGCTAACACTAACTTGCGTGGGAAAAGAACAATGTGTTTTATGACAATAACAAAACCGCCCCTTTCTCTTTAATGCACTATAAGCCAGATAATACATATTTTGATGCTGTAAAGTAGTGATATAGTGTTAGGAATATATAGTTTAAGGTCACTATTAGATGCGTACTGCTAGTAATAGTATAGTCGTTGTCATATATGTATGTATACATACATACATACATACATGTGTATACATACACAAACACACACACATAAATATATCAATATATATATATCTTTTTTTTTTCGTTCTTTTTTTTTTCACCCCCTCAACAACTGGGTTACCACAATCTACAAAACACTTTTTGAGGCAACGTTATTTTAGTATATCATTAAGCTACAACTAAAGTTTCAGTTTTTATTGTTATATATTGAGAGTTTTTATTATTTTAGTATCATCAAGTTAAACTTAATTAAAAAGAGAAATATTGCCTTACTAATACTAATGTATACTAATGACTAACACATTTTTTTAACTTAACTATAATAACCCCTCTATATTTAATAATAATAATTAAAATTACTATTATTACATAAAACCATAAAATAATATTTGGAAAAAAAAAATTTCTCTTCAGATCTCACCTTTTGCCATGCCATGTGTGTGGCACACTGCAGACGACAGAGGTGAACATGAGAGCTGTGATGAATGAGAACAGCACCAGGTAGATCAGACCCTCCAGTCCATCATAACACACTCCAGTCAATGCCTGCACATAATCCTGCACACAAACAGAAAGACAATCACAGCACTGCACGCAAACACTGTCATCATTCACTCACCGCCATCATTGACTCTCTTTCTTCAGAAGAGGCACAAGATTAGGATACAGGTTTTGAACATCACAAGGATGAGAAAATAATGACAGAATAATGTTCATTTTTGGGTCAACTGTCACTTTTAAATGCCTTGCATGCAACAGCACAGAAACCAGTCTCTGCTGGGTATGTGGATAATAGATACAAAAGAAATGAAAACAGTATGATGATATCCAGTGCTAGACTCTCTAACTGTGAACTTCCTGCAGGAGATGGCACCATATGCTGCAGAGAGAAACAGGGCTTTTAATAATAACATGCTGAACGAACCGCGACCAGCCCAACACATGCTGCTATCAGAGAAACATGGCAGCATCTTCCTTCCTCCAAATTACTGTCATTATTAACAGCAAAATTGCTCCATTTGTAATTACTGCCGGCACTGTTCTGCATCTCCAGCACAAACTCTCCCACATACGGCCCAGATGGTTTGGACCGTAAAGTATGTTATTGCTTTTGCAGAATGAAAACACCATTAATAATGTATAATGCGTTTCCAAAAGTCCATATTTTATCTGTTACTTTCTCTTCTCATGGGAAGGAGATGCACTTTTAGGACCACCCACACAGCAGGCCTGTCTCTCAGCCCTGAGGAGGAACTCTAGTCATACTAAATCCCAAAATATCGGACATCACAGAGAAGAGGACAGGCTCCAGACTGCAGATAGAAGGTTTAGAGCAGATAGAAGATAGAAACACACACATATATGTTTGTAAGCGCACTGCAGGTGGGCTGCAAAACCCTGGTTTTTCATGTCACAGAAGCCCACAGGTTGAAGCAAGATGTGCTTAGAGTCAGAGAGGAACCTTATGTGCAAAGTGGTCATATACTCTGAAACACTTTCTTACCATGTGCAAACTGCGGCAGTCCACAAGAGCAGTGAGCTGGTGCAGTCCGACTTCAGTGGTGTTCAAACCCCCCTGAATTTGCTCAAGGTTTCCCTAAAAAACAGGAAGACATAGTTTGAAATAAAACGGTTACTCTAAATGCAATGTCTAAATAGATATTCTCATTTACATACACGTTTAAAAGTTACTTAAAAATACATTAAAACAGCAATATTGCCAACTATTATTACAATTTTAAAGGGGTCATATGATGTGATTTCTATTTTTCCTTTTCTTCAGTGTGTTATGTAGCTATTTGTGCATGTATAAGATCTGCAGAGTTACAAAGCTCAAAGTCTCCCACAAAAGGATTTATTCTATCTAAAAGAGAAGGCTGATCCAGACCGGGCTAAAACGCCTCATTCAAACACGCCCCCACATCTCTACGTCAC